AATAAAAGTGTTAATTGGTTTTAACCGCTCTTCAGAAAAGCTGTGCTTTGAAGAATTTCATTACTTTCTATAATTAAACATTAAATTTTAAATACTGAATAGATACACCATGGGGTTTTCAGGAAAGGGCCCTTGCTCTTCTCCTCCATTGCTGAGAGTTTAAAATTTTTGTGTGCACAGAGGGTAAATATCTGGTCATGAAATGTGTCTACAATACTGCACAGCTTACAGCGAGAACAAAGTCATATGGCTGCCAAGATGGACAACATTGCCAGAGGTTTACAGATTCATCTGTAGTAATATTTTACCTAGAGACCCACAGATAAGTATTTTAAAGTATCTGGGTTCAGTTTTAAAAACTAACACGTTGGGGTGCCTGGGTGGCTCGGTTGGTTAAGCATCTGACTTCAGTTCGGTTCATGGTCTCACGGTTCATGAGTTCGAGCCCCACATCGTGCTTTGTGCCAACAGCTCAGAGCCTGGAACCTGCTGCAGATTCTGTCTCCCTCTCTCTCTGCCCTCCCCTGCTCATGCTCTGTCTCTCTCTCTCTCTCTCCCTCTCAAAAATAACTTGTGGTGAATGTCTTGTGTTTGTCATTTGGAAAAGGACTGGAAATTTGAAGCCCCCCCTTCATAAAGAATTAACTTTGAGACTTAAAAGCAGGAAAAGGAGGGCAGTCATTGAATAGCTTACAAGGTGTGCCTGTTCTCAGATGCAGTTGCCTCTAGGGCCCCCGCTTTTAGGGCTGTTTCTCCCCTTGAGGGGTATTGAGAGAACCTTTCCATAGTGGAGCACCTCATTTAGAGTCCCATTTCCTGTGAACACAGACAGTCTCATGAGCTCTGCTTGCTCCTTATTTATTGGAACACAGCAGAGACTAGACCAGGAGTAGCCTTATTTTGAATGGTTCTGGACTTGAGTGGTGAGGTGGGATGAATAAGGAAAGGATAAATGGAATTTCAGGAAGAGCCGTTGAGGGAAAATTCTAGGATTTTCTTAGACTCCTACTGCATCAAACCCTATTGACAACCCGATGCCTGTGGTGCCTTGAGTGGAGGGGTCCCCAATACCACCCTCGGGCTCAGTGTTTCTCCAGATAGACCCAGGACTCAGAAAAAGCGATGCTGCTCACAGTTGTGGTTACTGCAATGAAAGTGCAGATTAAAACCAATGAAGGAAGTCCAGGAGGGACCAGGCACAGGCTCCCAGGACGCGGTCCCAGGGCCATCACATGGCAGATGCTTGTTTGCCCCATGACGATGTGGGAAAAGACATGGGCAGCGTTGTTAACCTGGGACGCTATCGCAAGCCTTGGCGTGCAAGGGTTTTACTGAGGATCCATCATACAGGCAGGCAGAGTCTACTGGTTCAATGTGAGCCGCTCAGACTCCAGCCTCCACCAGAGCAAAACAGGCATATTATTAGGATTAACTCATCTGGCCAGAGTGGTACAGCTTGGCCCAAGGCCTCAGGCACACAAAAATTCACTCTTATCAGGCTGAATATTCCAAAGGCTCAGAGGTTACAGTCCAGAAACTGGCCAAGGGACCACCCTGACACAGGCCTTTCTTTGGAAGGTGCGGGGTTTAGAGACCCCAGGCCTGCTGAATTCATTTCTTCCTGACCACTGTTACACGCAGTGTTTGACTTAATTAAAAGGCAAATGGAAACAATCTTGTGACCAAGTCTTGTTGCCCCCATTTTATTTTATTTTTTTTAGGTTTATTTATTTTGAGAGAGAAAAAGAGAGAGCAAGTGGGGGAGGGGCAGAAAGAGAGAGGGAGAGAAAGAATCCCAAGCAGGTTCTGCACTGTCAGCACAGAGCCCAACATGGGGCTTGAACTCATGAACTGTGAGATCTTGACCTGAGCTGAAATCAAGAGTCAGACGCTTAACCAACTGAGCCACCCAGGCGCCCTAACGCCCATTTAATACGTAAGGGCTAATTTGGTAAAATAACATGTTCAGGTCCCCCCATTACTTCCTGTTGGCCCATTACTTCCTGCTACCACCTACCAAAGCGTGTTTTCCTCAAACAATGATTATCTTCCCCACTATTTGTAGAGCCTCAGAGACATGGGCCATGTATACGTTTCCATCCTTTTTATCCTCAGACTCAGGGCGGCACCTGACTTACAGTACCTGCTTGATAAATGTGTGATAAATGAACATGACAGGCAATGACACACTGTTGACATTTTGCCCTTAGTCTTTTGGATTCTATACTATTATAATGTCCCTTATGTCACGATGTCAAAATGTCAAAAAAAAAAAAAAAAAAAAAAAAAAAAAAAAAAAAAAAAAAAAAAAAAAAAAACCACCACCCTGGAAATTAGTGTGTTAGCCATACTTAGAATTTTAAAATTGTTCTTTCAAGCTGAAAGGGACCTTAGAGATGATATTCTTTAACATTCAGTTTTAGATAAGAATAAGTATTCATTTTGTGAAAATACCTTGTTAAGTATAAAAAGAGGTAACAGTTGTGATTGTCTATAATTTCAATCAAAATCAGTTTGAAGTCAAGACAAACATATATTGCCCAGATTTTCACTGTTTCTCCAAATAAATGCAATTAAGGAGTGTGTTACGATACTCAAATACATGGAGCACCTCTGTATTAGCTCTTCCCAAGTTAAGGAAATGAATCTTTCAGGCTTTCTGTCCTTTTCATCATGGGGCTTCCTTTCTGAACTTCAGTCTCACATGTCATGGTCTGAAGCTGCACAAACATGGCTTCTAAATTGTTCTCGTTTGGGTCCCAGGTGGCCTGTAGAAGGAGTTCTGCAGGCCGGTGTTCTCGAACTATAAGATGCACAGGAATCACCCGGGACACTGTGAATGCAGGCTCTGATCCAGTAGTCTGGACAGGTTCTCAAGGAGGTCAGTGATGCTGGTCTGTGGACCTACATGTTCACTAGCAAGGCAATAGCCAACAAAATGACTTCGTCTGTCGCCCCATCTTCTCCAGTACTGGCTTGCTCCCACAAAACTATTCAGACACATAAGAAAAAAAAAAAAAAAAAAAAAAAAAAAAAAAACAACTCCGTATCTGTTTCTTACCAGCCCCAAGAGAACATGCTCTAAACAATAACCTGGGCAACCTAAACTATTTATTCCGATACTGCAGATGAAAGCCAAAAGTATGAGCTAATTTTACTGAAGTTTGACCAGCTTGGCTTTAGGTATCTAGGCTGAAGAAAGAACACCTTTCCCTAAAATGTCTTCACTCTTTAATGCTAGCATGTTTTAATTCTTTGTTTGCTGATCAAAGGCTGAAGGTTACAGGAGTCTGTATTTCAGAGGCTGAAGAAAACCTGCAAGCTTTCAAACCCTCTAACTGGGCAGTTAAGTCCCAGGAAGTGGGTAAGTGTTAGACCTTTGCATCTCGGTGACTGAGTAGGGAATGACAGTTTGTGTCTTCATTATCTCGTTTCCGAAGGCTACTAAGCAGTGCTTTTCAGATGACAATGAACAAAACTCCCCCTCCAACAGGCTGCGCTCACTACTTGTCCATCGTTGCCCTGCTCGGGCTGTTGGACTTGTATACTCCTCTGAATCAACAAAGAAAGCTCATTTGTTTCACTTTGTGAAAACGCTTCATTTTCCCCCCAGACTTTCCATTTCACGCTGTGTGAATTTTATTAAGATCTTTTTCACAGAAGCTAAGTGCTGGCTCTATGGGGCCCTAAGGGATGGCGTTCGCAGCCTCTGTAATGTCTGGAGCCTCTTGAGACATTTCTTTTCTACTGAAAACTCCTTGGGGAATCATAGGGAAGAATCCAAAATCTTTGTGGTGCTGGAAGACAGAGTTTGGCCTCGAGAGCATCTCGTGCAGATCTTTTGATGTTACAATCTGAAAACCAATAACACAGCAGTTCAGTTAATATCCCGTATCTCGGTAGTAACATCATATGGATATTGAGTGGGTCTTTCTGGAGGCCTCCAATTATTTTTAAAAGCTGGCTTAAAATATTAACTAGAAATATTTTTCATTTTAGAATTGGTCTCTGTTAATAAAATTTACCTGTAATCCTATTGCCTTAATAAAGTGTCAGTGCCTTTATTCCAATAAAGTTATGTTTTAGAAAGGTAATTACAATTAAGTAATTGAAAATTTTAATTCTGATTTTTCCTCATGAATGTTCATAATAAGAATTTTTAATGTTGTTATATCCTCTCGGAAATGACATAGTAATTGCTGTATAACAGTCCATCAGAGAAAAATACTAAAATTACTCCACTCATTTCTCTACAGTGGATATTAGATTAGTCTTCCAACTATCATAAGGATCTTATGAGACGGGCTCTATTATTTCTCCTATGTTAGAGCTGTGGAAAGGAGGTATAGGCAAGTTATTTAACTTGCCCAAGTTCACAGCGCTGGTAAGTGGCAAAGTCAAAATTTAAACCAACAATTCTCATATCCAAATAGGGTCTCCTTTATGCCATGTTGTTTCTTAAGATGCACAAGATTTACCTAAGGGTTACTCAGTGTAAATAACAGCTTCAGCCTATGTATGCAAGTCCATAAACTATAAAATGTATAGTCTTCTTGGTTCCTACTATAGCGAGTATAAAATTGCAGACTTTTCTTAAGTTCTTTAAATGTCAAGAGCCATCACAGCTTGGAAACAGCGTTATGATAACACAAATGTGAAAATCCTCAAAGAAAACGACTATTTGCTTTCATTAGTAAGAACTGGTAACAGGTGAACTTCAGTAACTGAAGCCTTTGGTGTCTGTTTCTGTGCAGTGTTGTGAACACTTCATCCTTCAAAACCCAGCTAGACATGAGTTTTTACCCTTAGTTCCATCTCATGTACCATTTAAAGGGGTGCTTGTTGGTTGGTTGTTTTGGTCAAGGATGAATCCGCTTCACTAACAGCCATGAAAGTCAAGGAGGAGGGTAACCGCAGGGCGAGGGCATCTTTTACATGGAGAACTGTTACGCACTTGAACACATGAAGACCCATCTCTTTCCCTATCTCTATTCTCACAGAATGTGTGACACAGGAGAAGGACTATTCACTTTTCAAACAAGGGAAGGAGAAATGATCTATCAGAAGGTCCATTCTGCGACACTGGCCATAGCTGAGCAGCATGAAAGATTAATGCTAGAAATGGAACAGAAAGCCCGGGTAAGGCTCCTTCCTCGGTAACCTAACAGTTGAATGTCGCTGAGGTCTGATGCACATCGTGTATATGTGGGCCCATTCACGTCAGCACCCCTGTGTCCACCCCACCCAGGCCCGAGCTCACCCCAGCTACCGAATCTCATCCCTCTAATGCCCTATTCAGCATATGCCAAAAAAGGAGTTATTTGTGGCCACTAGCAGGGAGTCCTACACTCCATGCTTCTCTCAAGGAGGGGTGCGGTGCCTAGAGAATGAAATACAAAGCAGTGCTGTCTGCATATTGCCGCACACAGTTGGACAATCAGAGATTCAGATGTGGGCCCAAAATAACCAGCAAAATTAAGTTACTACAGGAAAGGACTCCACTTTCTTTTTGTCTTTGTATTTGTCCTAGATTCTCTGAAGCTTCTAGCTCTTTCTCTGTTTCAGAGCCAATAATAAAATACTTGCAGAAGGAACTTACACTGTTTACCAACAGAATGATTTGTCTGTTACCCTGTTCTGGAACCATGCTAGAGTTTTTGGTCTAGCTAAGGAGCAATTTAGTACAGAATCTGAAATAGTAACTCGTACAAGTAACAGAAAAAATTGTAAGCTTTACTACCAATTTCTCTGAAAAGCAAACAACGGAATGACTGTTGGCCATAATCTTAAGAGTTGGCGATTCTGTCTTTCTTCAGGATTTACAGAGATGCATTAAATTTCATTTGGGAGAGGACAGGCAGAGTTTGGGGAAACAAGTGGGTCACTCACCAGAAGAACACTCATACTTCTGTCCCAGGTTAAAGATTACAGAGTTCTATATGTAGTATTATATTTATTGTGATTTTTTAAATTCTCCATTACATAGTATTTTGACACATAGAAAACTACCTTTTAAATATAAGAAAACAAAAAAGTGATTTAATGAATAATCTTATGTTATTCTTAGCGCATTTCTAATTTTTCTCAATGCTACATACACATTTTTATCTCTTCATCTAGAATATGTTTTAAAGAACTTTCCTAATACCTAAGTGTAGCAAGTGAAAACCAGGCTTACACGGGACATTTGGTCTTTCACAGGGGTGAATTACACCACTTCATCCCTTGATGAACATTAAGGCTTGAACATTAGTAGGATTATTAATAGGATTGTGTGTTTAATTGAAGAAGCATTAATAAGACATTGATATCACTTAGTCTTGTAGAAAGTTTTGGGTTACATTTAAGCCATTGTAACAGTTATCTAATTAATGTGACATTTTTCCAGTGGCTTAAATCACTGAGCAATTAGAACTACCAGATTTCAAATTATTTCTGAATCTGATGTTTGCAACCAAAATTAACGGTTCTAATGTCATTTGCTATTAGTTAACAGTTAGCAGTTAGCTACACTTAACAGTCATAGTTCTTTACGTAGAGCTGTTCTGAACAGGCAAAATGCTCTCGAGTAAAGTCATTGAATGGTTTTGTCTTAAAGGAAATTCCAAGAGCTCTTTCACACCACCCTACTGTTGACTATCAGGGAAAGCACTCAGTATGTGTCCTGGGTTCACATCCCAATTCCACCCTTTACCGGCTATGCCATCTTGGGCATCCTGGGTTATTAACTTCCAAATGTTTCGTTTGCCTTTATCTGTAAAATGAGGACGTAACAGTTCTACCGATTTGGCCGTTATGAGGTATCTGCATTAAAATCTGCAAAGTGCTGAGAACAGACCTGGCACACGGCAAGTGCCACGAAAGCTTCATTATTATAATAGCGATCCATCTGTAGGAGTGATTTTGAATAATTATAAGACTTGCAATGTTTGTGAAGACACTAAATTGTTATTCCCAACCGTAGCTAAATAATATCTTTCAAATCCCTTCTGAGTATGTCTAACAATCTTGTGCCAAAAAATTTGCAAAACAAAATTGAGTTCACATTTGCTCTTGATGCTGTGGTATGTGATAAACATGATAATGTCCCGTGCAGCTGAGAGGCAAATCCCCAGAGCGGAGCCACGCGATTGCTGTCAAGGGGTTAGAAACCAGCAGTCCACTTACTAAGATCTCAGGCTGTCTCCAGCTGGAGGGGTGCACCATGGACCTTGGTGCTTGGAGATGGAAGGGCAAGTGGGACAGGAGTTAAACTGCAGGCTCAGTACGGCTCCACCAAAGAAACTATTTCTAGAAATCACAAAATCAGAGACTCCGTCAGTTTGGTGCACACATGCAAATGGAGCATTTGGTTTAATTTCAAAAACAATTGCACAGCTATGCTTTTCTCTGAAGGTTCATGCTAATAAGACTCTTCTATATCTAGTCCATTTTTCAAGGTAAACCCAGCTGGTGATTTTCAGAGGGCATGCTGTCACAACTCAACTGTCCAGATTCCTCAAATTCTGGGACCATATGTAAAGATTGCCAGGTCTCCCGGGCATCATTTTTACTTTTTATTTTAAGAGACTGCCTCTACATGCACAAATCTCTTTTTTTTTAATGTTTGTTTGTTTGTTTGTTTACTCTGAGAGAGATAGAGACAGCGCTAGCAGGGGAGGAACAGAGAGAGAGGGAGAGAGAGAATCCCAAGCAGGCTCCGTGCTGTCAGCACAGAGCCCAATGCAAGGCTGGAACTCCCAAACTGCGAGATCATGCCTGAGCCGCAATCAGGAGTTGGTCGCTTAACCTATGAGTCACACGGGCGCCCCTGCATGCACACATCTCTTTGAAAAAAGAAGTTCCAACAACTCTGAAATAGTACTTAAATACCCTCTAACTCTTCATTTGCTTATTTAAATTAAATGAAGGCCTATGCTATAAACTAGGCAAAAGTGTAACCTAGGAGTTGGAAAAGTACCCCAAAACCTCAGCTGTAAAAATGATGCACTTTATTTATTATGTATCTAGCACAAAGTAAGAAGATGACACTCCTCATTGGCTTCCGGTTCTAAAAATGGCCCATGTGAGCTTATTATTTAGCACATAGAAAATGTTTACAGATTTTTAATGTGATTTAAGAGATTTTACAAAATCAAGTTGCTAACCAGCTATATAAGCAATGAATGCTCCAAACATTGTTATTCAGGCTACTGATGCATTCATTTCCATCCTTTCAAAGAGAGATGATTTAACAGTGTTACTGTTTTATAGATAAAACATTTGAATGAGAAATGATGTCTCAACAACCATTTCTTAACTGAAACAGAGGGAATTCAATATAATCATTTGGCATCACATGTATAAAACCTTGGTTTGCCCTTGTTTATTACCTTCTTGGTGGGGACACAAGAATAAACATGTTTTGACCTATCTCCATAATCTAAGTTAGGCAGCATTTCTATTCTTGTTTAGTCGTATATCTAGAAGATTTTCCCAGCACTGTGAACAAAATAGTACATTTGCACTCTAGAATACTGGATAACAAGAATCATTAAATTGGTAAGGCTATTAAAAAATGTTTTTATTTAGGGGCACCTGGGTGACTCAGTTGGTGAAGTGTCCGACTTTGGCCCAGGTCATGAGCTCACGGTCTGTGGGTTCGAGCCCCATGTCTGGCTCTGTGCTGACAGACCACAGCCTGCAGCCTGTTTCAGTTTCTGTGTCTTCCTCTCTCTCTGCCTCTCCCCAGCTCGTGTTCTGTCTCTCTGTCTCTCAAAAATAAACATTAAAGCAATTTTTTTAGTATATTTTTATTTCCTTCACTGAGAAAGGTAACGAAAGAGTTAATGACGGTTAACCGGATCCAAGAAGTTTTTAAGTAGAGTTTAGCCATCAAATACCCACTCACAGCTTTGTAAACTGGTTACTCTGCTCAGAATGTTGCTTGGACGTATCTGGAATACAAGAGAAGAGCAAGAAAGTTTTCTCTCAAGTGACCCAGAAGTTTGTGGGACCAAGTAATTTACACTGCCCAAGTAAGATTATCTCATTACTTTTACTCCTTGAAAGAGCACACATTTTCCATGCCTTTCCATGCCATCGAAATTTTTCTAGATAGATTGACAAGATGACACCATCACAAAATTTTGGTCACCGTTACTTTAAACACCTCTTGAGCTCATTCGTATGGTCATGACAGCAGACCCTGACTGATTTCTTAGATCACCAACTTATTGGGAGGCCCTGAGGTAAGCCACCATGAAGAATGATTTCTGCACTACAAGAAGACACGCTTTCCCTTTTGCATTTAGATGTGGACCTTCTGCTTCTCGCTCTTCTGTCCAAGTGGGGATCAGAAAGTGGTCATACAAGGAGGTAGCAATCCTCTGTATTTTCTTTACTTGTTAACCCCCAAACAGTTTTATTTCAGAAGACAGTTTTGGTTTTGGGGGGTGCTTGGGATATTTAAGCTATGGTACTAATTTTGAACTAGGGCTATTTCTGAAGGATTCACCAAGATTCACATATCCGAGGCAATTATTAAACCTGGATGTTTAAGTAAATGGCACCTCTACAATTTGTTTCCATTTCTTGGAGATCATTCTTGTTCTTAGAACTGCCAGAGTTCTTGAAATGCTATTACTAAAAGCATTTATAGGTGCTCTACCCCACATGTGCAACATTATCAGGGAAATTTTTCTTGTCTTTGTGATAGAAGCCATCCATCAGAAACCATATCACAAATGTGCCCTTGTGATTCAGCCTGGTGAGGCTGAAATCATCCAAAATGACAAGGCCTCAAATGCCCTGAAATAATTTAATTTTCATAGATCTGTTACACATGTGCACGCACGCACACACACACACACACACACAATATGAAAAGAAGTCCTTTTTTCCATTTGGTTTTTGTGTTCATAAGCTTTACATGTGTTATAAAATCCCATAGGTAAGGAGCAATTGAGAAGACATGAATAATTTTCTTTATTGAATTTTCCTGATACCTTACAAAAAATGAGTAAGTGAAAGGAAAGGGGCATTGTCATTAGTAACTTCTAACCTTGCAACATTGAGAGTGATTTACAAGCCTATTTGTAGATGAACAGCCTTCCATAATAAGAATTACAGTGTACCCTTTAAAAAAGTGTTTGGAGGGG